AGATTCCATATGGAAATGGTAGCTCGGGAGTAGCCAAGAATTATTAATAGAGATTGTTAGGCTTCAATTATACACATGATAGATCATTTACACGCATAAATTATGCTATTTCAATCACTTAATATTTTTTTAATCCACGGAAGGAAGGCAGATATTTTCATGTAGACTCCGGGGTACTTCTTGGATGTACAGTCATCAATATATGTGTATGCAGCCATTCCTATAAGTTTAGAGTCACAAAAAAGAGGACTGCCAGAATCACCCTAAAGAAACAAATGAAAGACTTCAAATGTAGTCTGCCACTATGTGAAATATCAGATGACATAAACCTTTTGTTAATTATCGAAAGTAATGTTGCAGTACCTGACAGAACGCCCTTTTCCCATCCGAGAGACTACAGATCATTTTCTCAGAGTTGAAATGGTCCTTCCACTTGTTTTTGCATTCAAAGCTGAACTGCAGTTTGAGGCTGACTTCATGCAGAACATCCGATTCTCTTCCTCCAGGTTTTGTCATGCCCCAGCCAGCAATGGAGCATTCCACATGGGCAGGCATATTCTTATTGTTCTTAGGGAGCTCAATGACATCCACAAACTCATTTCGCACAGCTTTGGTCTTTAACTGTAACATATTAGTCAGTCAATACCTCTAAGTTTTGTGAAAAGAAAAAAAAAAGATCCACCCAATTTGAGCACCAATAATACCTTTAGTAACATGATATCATAGGTAAAGCGACCATTCTCATACTTAGGATGTCTGATGTACTTGTCTACTTGGATAATCTGCTGGCTGTCCTCGTTCTGACTAATATTGTGTGCTCCCAGAACAACTTCTAAGTTCTTGCTGTGAAAACATTTAATGTTGAGATTATTTTAAGTGGTGATAACCGCAGAGCATCATGTTAGTACATTATTTATAAAAAAAAATGTATATGTTCAAATTGTACATACTCACTTCAAACAGTGACCTGAAGTCAGCACATAATCATCCCTAATCAGCATTCCTCCACATGTATGTTGTCTTCTATACTGGAGAGATGCCATGTATGGTCTGGAATGAGGTTTTACCTCTTTGCCACCTACAATACCACTTTCTAACCCTCCTGTGATCATGATACTAGAGGTTGTCATGGCAAATATAGTTAAAACATGGGTACAGTACATACCAGCTAATTATTATTAATATATTTTAATAAATAAATCACTGAAACTGCTTGCAAGCCATTGATACAAAAAATGTGTATACTGTACATACAGAAATGTGTCTTGTAAATTAATTGTATTCAATTAAAACGTTCCCTCCCAACAGAATCATCCTTATTGATGTAATATGTAAACGTCTTACCAGACAGAGAAAAGACATACAGGAGAAGACAGACACTGAGCAGCATGATGTACGACTGTGCTGATGCAGGACTGGTACATGAACAGGATTTAAGCCTCAGTGGGGTCTACTTTTATATGTGACAAAGTATGTAGGTCAGAGACTATTCTCACCTAGATAGCCTCTGCCACACATGAAAGTGCACAACGGAAAGGTGTAGGGGGAAATCTGACTCGCATGAATTATAAACAATGCGAGTTCTCAGGAAAAATTAAAGGGGGAGTCCACCCAAAAAATTCAGTCATCATTTACTCAACCATATCATTCCAAACCTGCATTACTTGCTTTCTTCTGTAAAACACAAAAGAAGATATTTTGAGGAGTGTTGGTAACCAAACAGTTTGGTGACCATTGACTTCCATTATATAGACCAAATAAATAGCACCTTTATTTCCCACAGAGGAAAGTCATGCAGGTTTGAAACAAGTTCAGGTTAAGTAAATGATGACAGAATTTTACATTTATTTGGTTGGATTATCTCTTTAAGAACTATATGAACAATATAACTTCTGCATTAATGCACTAGATTTAAATTAGAGAAGAAGATTCTAATGATCACTGTCTGTAGTATAAAACCTCTCACCTGGCTTGTTACTTGTTTTGTGCCAGTCAGTTAGTTGTGAGATTTTCTGTGGCATTTGTGATGGCCATACACTTTTGGCCCAGAAACACATTCATACTCTGAGTCAGTTTGCCCATATAGTCTAATTCCAACATATCATTTGAGTCCGTTCTTAAGTTTCCACCCTTTTTTATTATATGACAAGTGGTTTCTACGGATTTTGTTGCAGTACGAATCATGGCGTTATAATGTAATATCCCCACCCACTCTAAAACAACAATATAACATACAATTACTGGAAAATATTATTCAAATTTATTTAATTGTTCGTAAACGTACATAATGTTGATGTTATTTTCACAAAAAATTTAACCTTGCCTCATTCTACTAAGTCAGAATTTACAGAATTACAAAAGCAGGTTACACTTTATACAAAAATTTATAAATAAACCACTGCATTTATGACTGTTTATACCCCAATTACAGGCCGAGATCATCATAGGCCAAAGAGCCTGAAGCCTCCAGACGACCATGTGCTATATTGCCCCAGATCCTTATTGTAGGCACTCTGTTTGAAGACAGTTGGTGATTTTATGAAAAGCAGTTTGGCTTTATCAGCTTTCCTTCTTTTTGGTCTTTATGAGAGGCTGATGCAGTACATCATAAAGCCTTCTTGCCTAAATTAACCACAAACAGGAAAGGAAATAAAGACATACCTTTGGACAAGTTAAAATGGTTAAATATTGTTAAAATTTGTGTGCAAAAACAATATATGTAAAACTATGTAACATATGTAAACTGATATCAGATGCTACATATACAGTGGGGAAAATATTTATTTGATCCCCTGCTGATTTTGTAAGTTTGCCCACGTCTGTAATTTTTATGGTAGGTTTATTTTAACGGATGAAGACAGAATATCAACCAAAAAATCCAGAAAAAACACATTATATAAAAGTTAGAAATTGATTTGCATTTCAGTGAGTGAAATAAGTATTTGATCCCCTACCAACCAGTAAGAATTCTGTCTCCCACAGATTGGTTATGTGCCCATGTGGAACCACAGATTAGTCCTGTCACTTTAAGAAGTTACTCCTAATGTCAGCTCGTTAGGTGTATAAGACATCTGTCCACACAATCTGTATCTTCCATTCCAGCCTCTCCCACCACCATTGGCAAGACCAAAGAGCTGTCAAAGGATGTCAGAGACTAGATTTAGATCTGCACAAGGCTGGAATGGGCTACAAGACCATCAGCAAGAAGCTTGGTGAGAAGGAGACAACTGTTGGTGTGATTATTCGGAAATAGAAGAAATACAAAATAACAATCAATCGGCCTCGGTCTGGAGCTCTGTGCAAGATCATGATCATAAGAAAGGCGAGGGATCAGCCCCGAACTACACGGGAGGAGCTTGTTAATGATCTTAAGGCAGTTAAAACCACAGTCACCAAGCAAAACAATGGTAACACACTACGCCACAATGGACTGAAATCCTGCAGCACCCACAAGGTCCCCCTGCTCAAGAAAGCACATGCACAGGTCCGTTTAAAGTTTGCCAATGAACATCTAAATGATTCAGAGACAGCTTGGGAGAAAGTGCTGTGGTCAAATGAGACCAAAATTGAGCTCTTTGGCAATAACTCGATTCACCGTGTTTGGAGAGAGAGAAATGCTGACTATGACCTCAAGAACACCATCCCTACAGTCAAGCATGAAGGTGGAAACATTATGCTTTGGGGCTGTTTTTCTGCTAAGGGTACAAGACGACTTTACCGCATTGAGGGGCAAATGGACGGGGCCATGTTCTGTAAAATCTTGGACGAGAACCTTCTTCCCTCAGCCAGAACACTGAAGATGGGTCATGGATGGGTCTTCCAGCATGACAATGACCCGAAACATTGTCAACAAAGGAGTGGCTCAAGAAGAAGCACATTAAGGTCATGGAGTGGCCTAGGTCTCCAGACCTCAATCCTATAGAAACTCAGTGGAGGGAGCCGAAACTTTGAGTTGCCAAACGACAGCCAAGAAACCTTAAGGATATAGAGAGGATCTGTAAAAAAGAGTGGAACAAAATCCCTCCTGAGATGTGTGCAAACCTGGTGACCAACTACAAGAAACGTCTTACCTCTGTGCTTGCCAACAAGGGTTTCTGCACCAAGTACTAAGTCATGTTTTACTTGGGGATCAAATACTTATTTCACTCTCTGAAATGCAAATCAATTTCTAACCTTTATATAATGTGTTTTCTGGATTTTTTGGCTGGTATTCAGTCTCTATACGTTAAAATAAACCTACCATAAAAATTACAGACCCTTAATTTCTTTGTAAATGGGCAAACTTACAAAATCAGCAGGGGATCAAATTTTCCCCACTGTAAAATCAACTGCTCAAAACATAAAAAAGTGTCTCTACACACCTTTTGTGGACCAAGTCCAGGACACAAAACTAGTTCTTCCTTAGATGCCTTAATGATGCCCTCCAAACACTGAAGAGATAAATGGCATCAACATAAAAGAACATACATTTTTTCAAGTTTATTGGCAATGGGCTTTTTTGATGAAATTTTAAAAGTTTAAGGTTGGTAATATTGACTGATTGATTGACTGGAAAGAAGCCTTTTAAGCTCACCAAGTCTACATAATTATTTGATCAAAAATGTGAGTTTAAAGTAACCATTTTCTATTTTAATATATTTTAAAATGTAATTGATTCCTGTGATTGCAAAGCTGAATTTTCAGCAGCCATTACTTCAGTGGCACATGACAGAAATCAATCATTTTGTCCCAAGTAACAATTCTTATTATCAATGTTGAAAACAGTTGTGGTACTTAATATCTTTGTGGAAACTCTGGAAAATTTTATTTTTTCAAGATTATTTGATGAATACATAGTTTAAAACACAGCAATTATTTGACCAAAGAGATTTTATGTAACAATGTCAAAGTCATTACTGTCACTTCTGATTAATTAAATGTGCCCTTGCTGAATAAAAAATAATTTCTTTAAAAAAAATCTTACTGACCTCAAACATTTGAACAGTAGTGTAAGTAAAACACTAACTGTGCAACATATAAAGGAAAAGCATTCAAACGTAGACAGGAGAGTCATGGCATCTGTCTTATTGACAGACTTTACTGTGGTTAAACAATCTGTAACCTGTCAAACAAAAATAAAGTATTAAAAAAGACAATAAATGATCAGGAATGTTTTATAAGAATAATGACATCAGTGCAATGAAATGAACCAAACATAATTATTTTAGATTTATTCATAGGTTTTTGTGCTCTAACCTGGGGCCGGTAATTTTTCTCCACTTGTTCTTTCAGAACATCTGCAGGTTTCTTCTCGTAGGATTTATATGTCTCAAGGTAACGGCCTGCTTCTTCAGGACTTACACACAAACTGATATGTTTAGTTAAAGAATCTAAAATTGAAGCAATAAAAACTAACAGAGCTGTAACTTTTAACACCTTATATTTCCACAAGCCACTAAGGGAATTCCCCTTCCGCTTGATTATTTTGAACCATCCCCTTATACCTCCGGGCCAAAATGAGGGTACAGTCAGCCATGATGCATATTCGAGCAAGCTCTTTCAGTGCATGATGAGTGTCTTTCTGAAAAATGAATTAGAGCTGCTTAAAATGTCCAAATCTGGCACTAAGAGGCTATTTTTTACTGACCATCAAGATTTAATTAGCATTTAATTCAAAAAAAGATTTAAATAACCCTACACATTAGAGAAAGGGTGAAGAATGGGAAAGACAAATAAATGTGAGTTAATTAGTGATTTAGACAGACAGACAGACTCACCACATCGACCTGGATGAGCAACACTCTCAGGGTGAAACTCTGACCCAACTGTTTTAGACGCTCATGGATGTAGCTCGGGTACAAATTGTGGTAACGCACACTGTGGTCATTGAGAAAAAGAGAAACTAAAGCATTACACACTGTACTGATAAATGGTTGGTGAATATAAAGACCTATAGAAACAGTGAATTTCCATTTTCCATTTGCAATTTAGTAAAATTAAACCATTGGTTAAGGAACTAAAAACCTTTGCAATGATTCATATTCACATGATTTACTCACCCACAAGTTGTTCCAACCCTGTGTTAATGTTGGTAACCAAACAGTTGATGGTAGCCACTGACTTCCATAGTATGGAAAAAATACTATGGAAGTCAATACTGTTAACTGTTCAGTTACCAACATTCTTCAAAATACCTTCTTTTGTGCTCAACAGAAGAAAGAAACTTATACAGGTTTGGAAAAAGTGGAGGGTGAGGGTGAGTGAATATACATTAAAATACATTATTATACACAGAAACAAGCCACAAGCAAAATGCTTTCGTTAATTTACATTTCTCAATTGATTCTACATTATCTATGATGTATTGTTTTCATACCAATCATGATTGTCAGCAACAACATGTCTGCTACCTTCTCACTCATTTTCTTTGCAAAGACAGGATGATGTGGTTTCACACCTGACTAACTGAGAGGATTCCATTCTCACATAACACTTACAAAATGAGTTTTAAGTGCACATACACATGCTTGCACCCAGGTTTTTATATCTGAACACTCAATATTTAATTGCATTAAATATTAATAAAGTATTATTTACAGTTTACTAGCATTTAAAATATCTGCATAGACATTCAGTAACTAATTTAATAACAAACACCGATTTAAAATACACATTCAAGTGGTAAGCAGATAAAGGTTACAGTAGAGTTTGCTATACTTCATAACTTTTAATATACAAATCTGGGGCAGGTTTTGACATCATACAAATATCAACTTATTACTTTCTTTCCTCCATGATTCACTGCGTTAAAAGCCAACAATATGTTGATTTGGAATTGGCCTCAAATGTGCAAAACAGCACTGGTTCCATATTTATGTACATGATTGGTGAAGCTTCTAGGTTCCCTTTGTATATATTTGGATTCCTATTTTGAATAGGTATTTTGATTTGCATTTAATTTTTAAGAGGGGCATACAGCACAAAACACTGACAACTGTTGTATTACAAATCATTTAATTTTCTAACCAGTGTAATATATCTTCTCTGTACTATACCAAACCACCTGAGAAAAAGAGCACAGGTTGTCCGCCCCAAAACATAGTCTGTCACAACTTCTCCAAACTCCCAAGGAACATTTCTCACAAACTTTAGGATGGGGTTGCCTCTCTATAGACAGAAGAATACATAATATTATATAATCATGTTCTACGTTTGCAAGTTATATTGTGCAAATCAACTAAGTTACAGTCAGTACATTTTGAATTATGTTTGGATGTTTATACTGACACGTATTTGCATAGATGCATGAAATCCATTTTAATATATTCTGCTACTTCACATCAGAGAAATTCTCAGAAGTACAGTTTATTTCTTTCTATAAATGGATAAGTAAAATGACTGAGCATTGCCTTATTGAACATACAGTATACAGACCTGTCGAGGACTGACAATAATACTGTTTCCAGATCCAAAGAGATGAGGAGGAATGATACAACTCTCCGAACTCTGACTTTCCTCTTTCGTCTGATCTTCTGTTGGTACTTTTTCTGGTCCCTGCTGCTCAGTCTCAGGTATTCCAGAATCTGTGAAGGACGTACTAACTGATCCACTACCAGCTGTGTATACACTGGTTTGCCCTGCAACATCGCTCCTACTTTGTTTCTCTGGTCCATGGGCTGCTCCCTGAAGAGCCCTGTTTTTGCTCTGAACAACAAACTCTGCATAGGACAGTGGTTGGCCAGAAGCTGGAGGAGCTACTGTTTCCAGATCCAAAGAGATGAGGAGGAATGATACAACTCTCCGAACTCTGACTTTCCTCTTTCGTCTGATCTTCTGTTGGTACTTTTTCTGGTCCCTGCTGCTCAGTCTCAGGTATTCCAGAATCTGTGAAGGACGTACTAACTGATCCACTACCAGCTGTGTATACACTGGTTTGCCCTGCAACATCGCTCCTACTTTGTTTCTCTGGTCCATGGGCTGCTCCCTGAAGAGCCCTGTTTTTGCTCTGAACAACAAACTCTGCATAGGACAGTGGTTGGCCAGAAGCTGGAGGAGCACTCTGAGCAGATGAGGTCTCTACTTGAACATCTTTGGCCTTAAATAAAGATGCCAATAAAGATGTGTGAACAAAAGGAACTGGGTTACTCGAGTCATTTAATAAACACTGCCACTTGAGTGCTTTAATGGAATCTAACCGGCCATATGCACTTTTGTACCATTCTTTTTTTTAAATCCACTTATGATGTTATGATAGTTAATGTTTCTTACAACTTTTTTGTTATATGAAGGTCACATTAAAACAGTCTCAGACACTTTTTACTATGTTTTTACTGAACACCAGATTCTTATTGTTTTAGCCTTGCCCATGACTCACTTTCAAATATGCAACAAGAAAATCCATTAGAAAATATCATGTTTAAAAAAAGAAGTGTAGAACTATGATGATACAAACAATGAAGAAAATAAGTTAAATATTTATTTTGTGTATATATATATATATATATATATATATATATATATATATATATATATAATATTTTTAAATTACTGTCCCACAGTTTTGCCGTTGTTTTCACCCCAAAACACAATTTCCATCCCTAATAAAGTTAGTACTCTTTCTCTCTCTCTCTGTGTGTGTGTGTACAGGGCAAAAAGCGTATTTGATGTTTGATATATGCCGATAATGATTTATGCCAATTAACTGATTTGCAGATGAGAAAACATAAAAGAAGAAAAAAAAACTTGGCCTGCATGGCTTCAAGAGTAGCGAATATATTCTTCCACCGTTTATGACCCACAGAGGAAAGGGATTCTCGAGTAATGGGTTTGGATTAAGGGTGAGTAAACGACATAATTGTCATTTTTGGATTAACTAAACATTTTTTTTTGTCAATTTAGCTAGTTTTGCACGTGTAGGCCGAGAGTAGTTTATGTGCTGGGCTGTTCCTGTTGTGGTGGGCAATGTGATGCTTCAAATATGTTTCGAGTCATCAACACCTTGTTACGGGTACACTTGCAAAGAGTGTGTGAAAGTTTCACATGAGGTTGGCAGATCGCGCTTGTGATTTTATTGATTTTGTCTTGTAAGGGTGACAGACCTCACTTTACATAATAGTCTCTATTAACTTTTTTTAGTAGAGCTGTTTAACGCAGTTTGGATACTTAAAGTACATGCATTACAGGTTCGATCCCACAGATTAGTTTGATAGGTGATAGTTTATGTATGAAGCTTTGTGGGGTTCGAAACCTCCATTCTCTCAGTTAGCAGTCACTACAACACACTATAGCAACATAATCATAATTGGGGGGGGGGGGACCCACCGGACTTCTTTCTTTTGTGAACGCGGTGTCGTCCAAATTGATATTGAATCTCTTTTTTCCCATTTATTAATCAATCAGCAAATGCACAAACCAGTGAAACTAAAAACACACGAGTCCATCTAACGTTACCGCCATCGCAGCTGAACAAACAGTCAGACAAAAGTGTCAAACACAGAAACATCGACACTGCAACGCCTGCTCATACTAACCGACAGATGGCGACATTGCATCAGATTTTTATAGTTTCCAAGCATATTGTATTTTTTTGTTATTAACGTATGTTTTCAATATAATAATATGGTAATTTACAGTTCCGACTTAAGGAGCACACCATTATTTCTCAGGAAAATAAACCTTTATTTAAAAAATAATAATAATAATAATGTGGGGAAAACACTGCTAGAAACAACTATTTGTATAACTGGACATCTGATTCACAGCCTTTTCTGAGATATAGTCCTTGTGACAACTTTTCCATGCGACAACAATCCCCAAAGTACCATGATCTGTTTAAGTGTAAAACCTCTCATTATAATTCTTGACTATTTAAATAGTTTTTTTTTTGTATCTATTTCTTTTTAATAATATAAACAATCATTCATTAATTGCCTCTCGGCCCTCAGAACATCATGTTCAATGTTTTTGATAAATTAGAGGTTATCCAATTAAGAAACCCAAATTCTGACAGACATCTGTGTATTGCCCATTTAACCCTGTTTGTGTGTGTATTTGGATGGCGTTTCGGGGCGTCCTGCCACTGTGCCATAGCATCGTGGGTCCCACAGACAGATGGTGCCAGCTTCATTCTGAGATAATGTTCATGCCCTCCAAGATATGCTATGCATTTAAACAACACACACAAATCTTTGGCATCATACCAATGTATGTCAGTCACTGTTCAGGTCAAAACAGACAATATTATAAGCTGAAAGAGAGTATGGATCCTCCAGCTGTCCGACTGAAGGACTCGCAAGACCCCTTACTGAGGAAACCACATGCCCTGATACACAACACGCACATACACACATATCTTATTGAGATCACCACATTCCCTGATAGGTACACTCACCGAGTCACCCTCAGCTGTAACATATGCGTTTCAGCAGCACACTGACTGTACCATCATGTGCCAAATGTGCCAAAGTACCCTCTTATCCATGAGGTTAAAAAAACTGCTTTTTTTTCAGTATGAAAGCACACAGCATATTTTATCAGTACTGCTCCAGTGTCATTTAACCACACTGAGCTGAGTGCAGTAGCCAATGTCATAACTAAAGTTGGCAGAGCCAAAGACAAACATTTTTTAGAGGAAACAAACCACTTAAACCAGCATAAGATGACCAGGTTGTGATACCATCTTAGACTAGTTTAATTTGTCTTTTTCAGGAGGTACCTGAGTTGCCCCAGCATCTTTTTTAAAGCAATGAAAATTACCATTACAGTGTCATTTTCACCTTATTTTAAATGATGTGATGTGGTTATGTGATGGAAATTATTATTACTTTTATTATTTTTGAAAATGCCCTTTCATATTTTAATTTAATATTTTATATATTTTGTATCTATTTTTATTTTTTCCCAAATACAATCAAATAATATTTTCATATTTTTTCATAATTTAACAAAATAACTGCTTGTTTAGAATTTTAAAAACAATATAAAACGTTCTGCTCAAAGGTGATTTGCCACAACAACAAAAAAAACCTTTTATGAAAAACTATTATGAACAAAAATGACACTGGGGGACTTTTTTTTAAGTTGGTCAATTACTTTAATAAAATAAATATTGAATAAACATTCACTATATTACACTCTTTGTTTAGATTATCATAGTTTTAAACATGTTTCATATTTTATCAATTTAAGCTAAATTTACATAGTTTTTATAAGATTGAAGGTCTGAGTCTGTGACAATGACAAAACAATAGAATCTGTACATAAAAGGCAATTGAGAAATAAACAAGACAGTTTTAATTTGATCTTCATGTAACCAGAAGAAAAAGTTTCTTATGCTAATAAAAAATAATCCCCTGGTGCACAAACGTTGAAGAAATACCCTAATATCGTTCACGGGAAGAAACTTAGCATTAGAAGGAAGTGTGTTCTGTAATATGTTATTGTAGTTTATAGATTTCTTTTTCCTTCTGGTCATGCTGAGTGAATTTTATGTTTGAGTATGTGTGGACGTTTTGAACTATACTTGACAAAACCCTTAAAGGGGTCATATGATGTTGCTAAAAAGAACATAATGTTGTGTATTTGGTGTAATGCAATGCGTTTATGCGGTTTAAGGTTAAAAAAACACATTATTTTCCACATACTGTACATTATTGTTTCTACTCTATGCCCCGCCTTTCTGAAACGCGTTGATTTTTACAAAGCTCATCGGTCTGAAAAGCGAGGTGTACGCTTGGCCAGCTATCCAGTGCGTTGTGATTGGCTGAATACCTCAAGCGTGTGACGGAAATGTTACGCCCCTTACCATACTGTGATGCCCTGTGTCCCGGGGCAACAAGACAAAAACAATAAAACCCGTTACAAACTAGGCATTTGCTGCATCCAGTGGGGACATAATTACTGATTATAATGACTTATACTGTCTTTTTACGCGTTGCGTATCGCGCGGCGATACCTCAAGCGTGAGGCGGAAATGTTACGTTTGACTCGTCAGTGGCAAATCCTTTAAATATAAAAAACGTACTTACAGGCTGTGAGTCAGAAGCGCCAGACTGTCCTTGCAAAGTTGGAACTGCCCCACTTTATAGAAACAGACACTGGCATTGTAGGCTACTCTCACAGGAAACAGTCCTCATCCTCCGCAAAATGCGCTGCACACATTTGAATATTTGGGTTGTACTGTTTTGGAACAGAGTTGTAAATACAACTTAACCACTGATTTCTAGTTGTGTCCTCTTTTGGAAGGCCAAACAAAGTAGTTTCGCTTTCACAACAAAACACATAGCATCACACACGGCGAGCTAGAGTGAGGAACGGGCGGCGGGTTAGAGTGAGCGGTGGCCGGCGGGCTTGAGAACGGCGTGGCTGGCGGATTCGACGAAGGAGCGGCCGGTGGGCTTGCGGCAACCACATGACGACCCCGGGCTGGACTCCGCTTCGTCCACGGTGAAAGCCGATCCGGTGATCCACAGCGCGAAGTTCATGTTTTCCCTCAGCGACCAGCACGAATCAGCTCTAGGCATGACGAAGCGGATATCGTCCTCTTTTGGAAGGCCAAATAAAGTAGTTTCGCTTTCACAACGAAACACACAGCTTCTTCACGACATGGCAGCGGCGGTAACAACAATACTACAGCGAGAATAAAAGTTACGCCTTTTTTCTTTGTAAATCTTCCCACACCGTGACGTAGACTGGTGGGGGTGTATTAGAATGAGCCGTTTTAGGAGGGCATGGTTGACTCATTACTTTTATTAAGAATATCTCTTTGGATTTGAGACTTTAGTCTTTGCAACTTTACAGATCTTCTTTATGCACCAAGAGCTTGTAACACTCCAAAGAGAAAGGAAAAATTGACCCATAAGCTAGAGCATCATAAGTAATTACAGAGCTGCTTTATTAGCTAAAAAACTTCTGGTTTGTATCATACCCTGGCTTGATGCGAGTAGATA